TTATCATCTTTATATTAGACCGGCTCCTCTAGCCGACGAGCACCTCTATATTACGGACACCTCTATATTACGGACACCTCTATATTACGAACACCCTTATGTTATCATCTTTATATTAGACCGGCTCCTCTAGCCGACGAGCACCTCTATATTACGGACACCTCTATATTACGAACACCTCTATATACGAACACGTTCCGATTAAGATTCAAAGGATATAAGCTATGGTCGATTTTACCAACGCTTTTGATGACCTTGTTAAGCTTCTTTTGTACTTGTAGAAGGAACTCGAACAGATCTTTGGACAGCTGCCCGACGATACCTAAGATAGTTTTAGAATACACCTTTGTCAATCAAGGTTGACTGGCGAAAACACTCGAACTGAGACGGAAAGGAATTCTGGGAGCGCACTAAATTTCTATTTCACTGGAAAAACAAGATGTTTAAGGTTTCGTGGAAAGAATTCGGAGTGTTTTCGGAGAATCTTCGGAGCGTTTCCGTAGTGTGCTCGGAGTGTTTCAGAGGACTTTTCGAAAAATGCTTTTATATTGAGAATATATCCATTGACAGTAGATTGAACATCTTTTATTTTTAAGATACTAATTTGTAAAAATTGTTGGTGAAATCTAGGCAGCCTTGAAAAAATACTGCAATAATCAGCTGAGTTGCGTGACTTACCGATTCTCCCAGTAACTGTACCGAAGAGTACGTTACTATGGAACGGCGTCGAGGACTCCCCTAAGTGCTCCATCACCAAAGATCCTTAAAACAGAAAACTACATTAGATTGCAAGTATATTACTGATACTAGTGGTTATCTGGTTTGAACCCGAAAATGGAGTACAGTCAACTCTCGCTATTACGGACACCCTCGGGACCGTAATTTAGTGTCCGCAGTAGCGAGAGTCCGTATAGTAACGAGAGTTACTTGCAGTCACTTCTTTGTATTTTTCGCCGGGGATTCAGTATTTTACTGTCCGCAATATTGAGGTGTCCGTTGTAGCGGGGTGTCCGAAGGCGAGAGTTCACTGTATTATGACATAAAAATGACAAGTTTTTCGGACCAGCGGTGTAGAGACTGTTGAATATCGGATTGAGAATAGAGAAAACCCTACCATGTCTGAATACATTAATAAACTCCCCCAAATGGTAGAGTCCAGTATCTTGTAAGTAAAGTCGCTCCTCATCAGTCGCGGCTCCGCTGTTTTTCTGACAAGTGAAGAGATTGAAGGAGTTTTCAGCGCCAAGAAACGTGTCGTCATCCAGGATTTCTATGGCAGTCATCCATTTTGGGCTGAAGTCATGAGCAATCTGAATCCATAACAAGGATAATTAGACGTAAAAAATTTGAATAGGGCCTCATGACGTCATTTGACGTCATCATCGTGCTTTAGCGCAAAGCATCATGGCATTGATGAAAATGTCTAGATGGCGGATTTCCAGTAAGATCAATGGTGGACGGAGTTTCTTTGCGAAATTTACGTCTTAGATCTTTTTGAAGAGAATTAATTGAGTTGCCCAAACACTAGTGTATGTTTAAGGACTTGTTTAATGAAATAACTCATTCACGTTGTTCAAAAAACAGCCAGAAATACCACAAACACGACCCAAAAAACAACATGGCTCAATTGTACTTTTGTCAATCCCATGATGCATCTTGCAAACGCCAATCCCATGATGCATCTCGCCAACGCCAATCCCATGATGCATCTCGCAAAACTCATTAAGGAAAAGAGCCATTGTAACAATGGACCAGAACTGTACAAACCTCTTGAAGTGATCCTTCCATTGGTACGTACAGCAGTAATGTTATAGATCTCATCATATCACCGACCTGGAGGTGTGTAAATAATAAATGTATGTTAGGAAATGAGCGTGGTCATTGTCTGTATTTTATAGATCCATGTTCAATCAGCATCCTTTATACAAGCTTTTGTTTATCTTTGAAAATAAAAATACATCGTAGCAAAATAACATAAGCAAAACCTTACTCTTTATTATCACTTTAAACTGGAAAAAATCTCTCGCTTTAAAGTTTGTAAATTTGATGTAAATATGATGTAAGTGTCCAAAATTCTGTAAATTTGATGTAAATGATTTCCAGAATTTTGGACACTTACATCAYATTTACATCAAATTTACAACCTTTAAAGCGCGCGATTTTTTCAAGTGTTATTCTCTATAAATGGAGATATTGGAAGATTCGATCTTAAAACCGACGGATTGAAACGGATTACGAATGGATAATAGAATTCATATCATTTTCCATATATGAAAAATCTAAAACACGACCGCATTGAATGCCGGTTGATCATAGTCCTTCTATTATCCTTACCAGGATAAAGTCCCCTTTAGTCTTTAGATACAGCGCTAAGATATTATCATAATACCAACACTCTGGTCTAAGCTCCTTGTCAGCCGTCCATTCAAATATACCAACCTGGAATACACAATTAACAAGGTTGGAGAAATATTACATCTGTTTCAGAAAACGTTGAATACTGAATACTGTAAGGCCCTATCTGCCTCACGGCACGAGGAGGACAGGTAACTGAATACTGTATTCTGCTTCATTTATTCCTAGACAGCAATGCATTGTTGCTATTAAACTCCATGTTAGCTGTATTACAAAATAACAATTCTAAATTGAATTGCTTTCCATTGAAGTTCTTGACTGTATGGAGCTGTTATAGTCACTCTGAAAAACCATCCAAACTTCTTTTCAACGTTGATAGAATGACCAGCAATGGATTACGGCCTTAGAATACATTAAGTCCAGTATGCAATGGATTACGGCCTTAGAATACATTAGTCCAGTATATAACGTTTTCTGCGAAAAAGCTCTATATCTCGTTTCTAGACTACAAACTGCATGCTTCAGCAATGCATTGCGGTCTTGGAGTACACTAGCTCGAGTATTCAACCTTTTTCTGTGAAGAGCTGTATATTTCGTTTCTAAACCACAAACTGCATCATTAAATTATGCGCAAAACCTACATTACTGTTTATTCCCGCCAAAACTTTTCCATTGAATTCCACTAGTGTGTACACAGCTCCTTTGACTTCCTTTTCAGCAATCTGGATAAGTTTACCTGCCAATGAAAATTATCACGTTAACTATCAAGGCTCATTTAATATTGTGCAAACACTAAATCATGTGAAGAGAGAAGTCATTAAACCCGTGAAACACAATTTGACTATTGAAGTGTCATACTAAAATATACACAAATCAACAGTCTTCTTCCAGTTCCCAGCGCCATCTTGAAAGGCAGCCGTGCCTTTGCATCTAAGCAAGACGACCTTTAATTGTGCAATGATAGAAACCTTCTTTCACACCTACATACAATTATTCACAGGTATCTATCATTGCATGCTCAACGGTTGTCTCGCTGCGAATGTAAAGGCACGGCTACCTTTCAAAATGACACACGTAGCCGTGAAGGAGACTATAAGAGCCTACCAAGGTTTATTAGTGAAATATTTGTTTCGTTGTTTTTTTTTACTTCACTCATGCAAAGTAGTGCTATATATCTCAATATAAAGTGGGGTAGAACATGAAAAAAAGGAATTTGCATAATTTAGTACAATTTAGCACTAATAAATTAGCTCCTTTCGTCCTCCCTTCTCTTCCCTCCTCCCTTTTTYCCCTCTTCTTTACTTCCTTCTTTCCCTCCCTTCATCTTTCCTCCTGCCTCCCCTCTTTTCATCCTCCTTCCTTCCCTCCTTCCTTCCTCCTTCAAATCGCTTCTTACTGAACATAATTCGTTCCTTCCTTCCCCAAATGCCTCTTACACTAACGATTCAAAGTATCATCAAAAAGTCCAGTCTTACCATCATTTATCTGGAAAAGCAATAATCTTCCTAACTTAGGTTCATTTTCTTCAGGAAAGACGTAAGCCGTACCAACACAGTAGTACGTGTTCGGGTCATCTGACAACGTGCAGGACATTAAACTGAGGGCCCATTCACAGTCTTGCAGCTGATGAGAATGCGTGACTACAGAAAAGAGTGACAGGAAAGTAAGTGAGAATGCGTGACTACAGAAAAGAGTTACAGGAAAGTGAATGAGAATGCGTGACTACAGAAAAGAGTTACAGGAAAGTGAGCGAGAGAGTGACAGACTTCATGAAAGCTCCAAATTCAAAGAAAACATTTTTGACACTATAGGATGATCTTTGTTTACAAAATTTTGTAATTAGCATAAAGTTTAAACTGCAAAATAAGTATATAACGTAAAAGGGCTTATTATGAACTACGAAACTACGAAAGTTTGAGGTCTTTACATGCAATAGTTTATAAGATATTAGCGTTCAAAGATGCTGAGTGGCAGAAGCGCTAATTAGCTCATATAATCTCTCTGAAAATTGGATTTTTTAAAACCGTTTGACGCAAAAACTATTCGTATGTTAAGCTCAAAATTGCAAAGAAAGCTTATTGTGCCATGTTGTTTCAATATTCAGTGCTAATTTACTGATAGTTAGGCTAAAACGTTATATCCTTATGCTAATGATATGTTAGTAATGANACAAGAAGAACTTGAATATACTACATACCTTGGAGACTCTCCTAGTGGTACAGTTCTGATGTGTAGTTTCTGAATCTCATCAATGGTCCCAATTGTCAATGTCCCCTCATTGGCAAGCGCAAGACTAGAAAACAAATTACATGTATGTCAACAACAATATGATACTCTTGTATACAATGTACTCTTTCAAGAAAGAGCAGGGAGCCATGAAGGGAGAATATCGTCGTATTAAAGGGACACTGTCAATGGATGACATGTGCAGTAACAGTCTCACCTCTAACGGCCTTTGAAAGTATAACCTTCGAGGTAAATCATTTTGTGTTGCTTTTGACACACTTTGGAATATTCTAGATCTGTTTATGTTTACGATCTGATTTATGTCGCGCCAACTTGGAGTCATAAACTTGAAAACACTAGCCTAGTGTTTTCAAGTTTACTCGCGCATGTCATCCATTGACAGTGTCCCTTTAAGGGTTTTAAGGAGTAGAATGAATGAAGAGTAGGAAAAAAACTAAGATTCCCTTGGAATAACATACCTGTCAGGATATCCTTGAGAATTCAATGGACACATGTAGTTCACTTCCTAAAAATAAAATTCAAGAAGATAAATAATGGCAATGGTCATGGCAATGTGTTAGCTGATTACAGGCAGATCTTTTCATCAAATGCCGTCATGTTTGTTTTTGGAGTATGATAAAATACCTGTCAAGGATATTACATTTGTTTTTGTTTAAAGGGACATGGTCCATCAGCATTCAATGCAGTCGTGTTTTACATCTTTTATATATGGAAAATAAGGGGATTTCGAATATCCATTTGCAATCTGTTTCCATCCGTCGGTTTTAAGGTCGAATCTTACAATATATCCATTCGTAGAGCACAAAAGGATAATAAAGAGTACATTTTTGCTTATATTACGATGTATTTGTATTTTTAAATATGAGCAAAAGCTCAAAATGGATGCTGGTGGACCATGTCCCTTTAAAAAAAGCCAAAACCACCAGAATCAAGAATAAATAAACAGCATGCCTTACTTTTTTCCCTTTTATGAGTTATATTGTCAACATGAAACAGGGGAGAGGACCAAAGGCGCCACACATATGAAGTCTTTTATAATATATAATTTATACTCACCTTAAGGTTGACATTAGAGAAAACAAGCTTATGATTACTGGAATAAATAACAGTTGGTCTGTCTGAACATGCAAAAACATTCACAGTAGATAGGGACTTGAAGGTCCTTAATATTGTAGGTTGAGTGCCCAGGGTCACTTTCTTTCGTTCTGACAGAGCACCTGTAGAAAATTCAAGGGGTTAATTTTCCATATACAGTACCTATATAAGGTCTTAATACAGATGAGTGGCCAGGGGCAAGTTATGATAGAGCACCTGTAGGGACATTAATCTGATTAGGGACTCAATGGTTACCTGTGGTTTGGTCCATGGTAAAGTAGAATAGCGTACCATCACCCAATGCGCACAGCAAGTAATGAATGCCTTCAAAAGATGTCTTCAATATTGAACGAGGAATGATTTCTGAAGGACGAAAAATACACTGATTTAATGAAACAAGTTTAGCACCAAAAAACAGCCTGTAAAAGCTCACAAATAGTACAATTTTATTGTTTAGAATAAACACAAAGTTTGTCCATTTATGTTTTTCATYCTGTTTTCTTGTTTGTCAGCTAAAGTCACTTTTCAAGTACAAATTCCCAAAATAGTTCTAGGTGGCCATGGTTTTTTGATTCGCACTGTAAATGGTGTTGGCGTTTCATAAGTCGTTTACAACATTCGCATCCCTGCTGTATGCCTATTCATCGAAGAGAGATGGATGTTGAGCATGCAATGATAGAAACCTTCTTCACGCCTAGAGACAATAATATTCACAGGTATCTATCATTGCACGCTCAACGGTTGTCTTGCTTCGATGTAAAGGCACGGCTACATTTCAAGATGCCACAGGGAACCGTGAAGGAGAGTATTGCAATCTCTACATACCTCCTCCAAGCATTTCCACAAACATAGATTCAAGACTTGGGAGTCTTAGCACTCTCACAGATATATCAGTCCACAAACCAACACTAACAAGCTCTGCCCTGGTATTTTGCTCTATAGGTGTTATATCAAGACAAGCAACTTCATGTTCCATAGTCACTTGACTAAAGAAAAAGAAAAGTTATTTAAAAAGAGGTTTTAGTAAAGAACAGTGAAGGAAATAATAATTAAAAGCAATATGCAGGAATTACACAATCATGTAGGAGGAGGTTCATAAAATTGCCCAATTTTACAGCATTAATGCAGAAATTATGATCAATTTTGACTCATATTCCAAGTATATATAAAATATATTGAGGTTGCCAGCACTTAGTAACTCTACGAAAAGAAAATTTGGTGATGATATCTCATAATTTCTGATATATTTTATATATACTACTTAAAAAATTAGCAAAAAAGATCATAATTTCTGCACATTGCTGTAATATAATGTTTTAGTAACAGATTGAACGTCGCAAACTGCTGACAAGTTGTGGTATTTTTGTAAAATTGGGAAATTTAATAGACCTCCTATCTTGGGGAACATTTCCCCCCATTCCATACTCCAATGGAGTATAATTTTTTACATTACTGCTATCTATGTGTATCCTATAACGATGCCACAATTGCAGCTGAATGGGCATGTGAGGTCTATTTTTTTGACGACTCATAAACCTTTCTTTCAAGAAACAATTGAAAAAATCTCTGCACAGCTACAAACCTTATCTGCACAAGCTCTCCAACTCTTATTTCAATGTAATACAGCTCGCTACCAACGGCTGCTACAACTTGTAGAGAATTACACGCCCCGACGCTAATGTTTTTGCCTGAATGATGTCGCCATTCACTGACAAGCTCGCCAGTAGCACTGTTAATAAGCCTTACGGATAAAGCTGTTATCTGGAATTGAGAAAATGAAGTTAAAACTTTCCATCAACATTGAATTCACAACTTTCAAAAATGGCGCGATATGACACTGTCACTGACCAGGGCACACTGTTGATGAAGCACTTAAATGAGGTCTCAAAGGCTTGCCTCCGTATAGTACACTTCAATGGTGTCTTAGGCAAGAGTGTTTTGTTATAAATATCATACCAAGACATATTCAAACTTTGACACTGCCATACATGCGTTCTTCGTAGTTTTTTTTTCTATATGAAAGGCCAATGAGGACTTGTTTCTATGATTTGTCACTAGATCCCTCAATACTGGCAGTCGTGAACTTCCAACATTTTTGAAAGTTGTGAATGCACCAATTTTTTTATCAATACCTGGATAATTTGATTATTAGTGACATTCCCGCAGAAATATGTTTGTTGGTCATCATCAAAACCAGCCATTTCTGTYTCCTCTACTTCTTCACCGTTAAGAGCAAGCACTCTGATCAAAGCATAAAATTAATAATTTATTATAATTAATTTATAATCAATTGATAATCAAAAGATTGATATACATCGACCAGTTGACAAGAGACAACTGAGAGATTGAATGTTGAAGAGCTAAAGTTATGTACGGCGGATTGAGTTAGATGGAGCAACCTAGTCAATGCAGTTCGAGTTCTCTCGAAATAAGTCAAGATATTATAACAGGGATTCTGGAATTATGCGTGAAAAAATCAAAATTATGCGCAAAATTATGCGCGTCATCGCTTAAAACCTATAAAATATGACTAATTCGGATTAGGAAACTCAGTTATTTTATTTCGTTTTATAAAAGAATGGAATATTAAGCATTATAGATACATGATCATTTCCATTTAAACATAAGTATATGGCCAAAAGAGAGAACGATTCTTGTAAACGTCCGCCATCTTGGAAACCGCCAATGGCTGTGGAACCTAGGCCGAGCCACAGGAAACCCATCACTAAATGTCATAAAAACAAAATGGCGTCGCGCGCACGTATGGCGCTGTTTTGTTAAAAAATGATACTTTACTTTACTTTAGTACTTTGTATGACGATAAAAAAGTGAAAAAACAATACTCAAGCCAGACGCAAGATAGATAGCATATATATTGATTTTTTGACAAATTATGCAGGATTATGCGGAGAATGGCCGATTATGCAGGTCCGCATCAGCGCATAATTCCAGAATCCCTGTTATAATAACACAATAAATAATTCATAATTGAATGATAATGAATATCTGATACAATCAATAATTAATAAATCATTACTAATCAACTAATAATTAATGATGATAACTATGATTTTACTTAAATTACATTAACATGCCCAAATTACATGTAGCCTCTCTATAGGTTTGAGTGTAATATTTTGAAATTGTTCATTTCTTTGTTAATGAAATTTAAATTGAATGATTAATAACCATTGATAATCACTAATAATTACTGATAATTATTAATGAATTATTACCTGCTACCACCAACAAATGACAGGACAAGAGTATCATCATAATCTTGGTCTGTTGGTTTCATCTTGAGTGCCCATATACCCATAATGCCTGGAAGGTCAATGGTGGCATGTTCATGGATGCCGATTCCATTACGGATAATGCGAAGAGAACCTTCCTTGCTAACGCCAGAACACGTCACAAGCTGTAAAATACAACATTGCCCTATATTATTATGATAWCACATTATAACATGTTATTATGTTAGCACTAAAAAATCTTACAGTAAAAATCACTCCATCATGACTTCTTGTT